TTTTCCCACGCTTTTTTGCCACCAATTCCTCTATGGAAGTGGCCTATTTGCCATTAGATAATATGACCAGTCCCATAGAAGGTAATCGAAATATCAGTTTGTCAGGATCTTTATGCTTTTCCTATATCCAGAATACTTCGGATATAACACCTTGTGTTAGACTTTTCAATCAGTCTGCTGTTTGGTTAGAAGTTTCTACACATACCAATTTCGAGGTGAATGCCTCATGGATCTCTGGTAGATGGCCCGCTATGACGGATAACTCTACGGGGCCTCCCCAACCCAAGTGGGCACCATTTTGTAAGGGGACCCATAAAGAAGTATTCTTCCCTTGGACTGAATGTCAAAGTAGGGAGGTTGGATGGGCGGTTCCGCAGTTCTTCACTTTCTCCCCTTACATGGGCTCGGATTTCAATCAGTCAGAACCAGGGGATAATTTCACTAACCAACAGCCTGGTATTGAAGGCTGGGTTAATCCCTTTGATTTGTGGATGCTTTGTGGAGTTAATGGTAGTTGTACTGATCTGCGTCCCTTCGCCATGATTGGCGGCGGGACTCAGGGGATTGGTAACTTTACTGGTGGAACGGATGAAGCCCTGAAGTTCTTTGCACCACCATCACCATCAACTCCAGCACCAGACTTCAAAGTACCGGGTGGTGCCGCTCAGCAACACTTCAATGGTCTACGCAACATCACCTTTGCACCCACTCCAGTTTGTGTGTGGCCACCATTTCTTTGGCTTGTGGCTAATGTGACTCTCTCACAGACTATGGAACTGATTTGTGCCAATGATACTTGGTACGCATCCTGCTGGGACGCTACCAAATTTCCTCATGCTGTGGTCGTCCGAATGCCTCGATTCATTCCTGTGCCAACGGAAGTGACGAATCCCTTGAGTATTGTAAGATCTAAGAGAGATTTTGGGATTACGGCAGCAATAGTATCGGCGATAACTATTGCAGCCGCTGGTGCGACCGCAGCCGCCGTCTCCCTCTCCACGTCAGTACAAACCGCAACTGCTTTGAATAATTTGTCAGCCAATGTAGCCTCTGCGCTCGATATGCAAGCCTCTGTTAATGCCCATTTGAAGGGAGGGTTAATGATTGTTAATCAAAGGGTTGATTTAGTGCAAGAGCAACTTGATGTGTTATGGCAATTGGCCCAAATAGGATGTATGTGGAGGATGCCAGGACTCTGTGTTGCACCTGTACAATATCATAATATGTCAAGAGCTGCAAATCTATCTAGGGAACTCTCTATATATTTGACTTCAAATTGGACGGGATGTTTTGATCAATTGATTAGACAATTGAGAGTAGCCATTGCTCATGTTAATTCTACCCGAGTAGACATTGTTTTTGCACAAGGTATATCTGATTGGATTGCAAGTGCTGTATCTATTCTGAAGGAGTGGGCTGGAATGGGATCAATGTTTGCTTTGTTGGCTTTGGCAGTGTTTTTGGGATTTTGGTGGTTATGTAAGATGAGACGACAGAGACAAAATGATAATACCATGTTATTGCAAGCTTTCGCTGCCCTTGAAGCCGGATACTCGCCTGCTGCCTGGTTGGCCAATTTACAATAGTAGCTTGAACGTTGGTCAATATTCTGCCTGTGCCTTGCTCATTCGGGGGCCATAAATACCTGCATCTCTCCACCTCCTTGGACATGGCCTCTGCACTCTGTGGATTAGTCCATTGCACCAGAATCAGGCATGTCCTTTTATAATCTTGTTGATCAGCCTTTGCACCGCTCAGAGGTTCTCCTCATTGCACGAGCTAAGGTGATCCAACAGTTGCTCACATGGAATACCTGCTTCGACCACCTTCCGGCCGGGGTGGTTGACAGGCTCCTCCTGAGCTCTAGTTATTTTAAGGAAGGGGGAGAGCTTCGACCACCTTCCGGCCGGGGTGGTTGACAGGCTCCTCCTGAGCACTAGTTATTATAAGGAAGGGGGAGATGTCACGCGCCATTATTTCCGGGTTCTTCATGCCCTGCATGAATTCTGGATGTGAGTCCGCCGGTGACGGTGGTTCATGCCTGCGCAGATGAGGCGCTTGGTTCGTCAGAATGATGCAGGCTGGCATGGACCAATAGAAATGGGCCACGTCACCCGGATGACTATAAAGGCAGGCTCGCATCCGGCTCGGGGTCTTTCTGCCATTTTGAAGAATGTAGAAGAAACTCCAATAAAGCATGCATCAGAAGAATCCTGAGTGTTGCGTGCTCCTTGCTGGCGAGGTGCGCGCGACAGATCTACGGGAGGGGTCATCAATAATGTCAATGTGTGGTTCTGAAGCATTTTTCAGGGCGGTATCCCTTGGGCCTTTGCAGAGGGATAGTTTGCAATAGAGGATCATAAAGGCCAGACACAAGGGATTTCTGACCATTTCCCTTGACTTTTGAAAAAGAGATCTAACTGGAGAATAGTGTTATAATTTAGATGGCCATGTTTTTGGCCACTGTTCTCCATCCCCTGGTTCATATTGTGTCCAAACTTTATTGCAAATTGTTTTTGATTATTAAGGATACAGCATCATGGTGAGGTGGGAGAGATTAGCAGGGTGTTGACTATGGTGATTTATAGGGACTATGGAGAGGGGAGAGAGAAGACTAGGTCTGGGATCCTCCTGAAGGCATCCCCGCAGAAGGACAGAGACCTTCCGAGCTTCAGGGTGTCTCCTCTTAGGAGCTCAAATTTCCTACCAGCCATCTCTGGTGAAGCAGGTGGCACCAGTGCCCTTTTGTTCCTTGAGTGTCTCTTTCTCCATAACTTATGACCTCAGGTCAGGCCTTAGGGCTTAAGTGGGTAGATAACCTGACCACAAGTCTTTAACTGATTCTATCTGGGTCCCTCATCGTTGTATCCCAGTGCAGGAGGCCATAAAGACAGACCATAGCTGTGAGGCAGACTAGAGACTGGTTTGGGACCTGGGGAGGAACAATTTTCTCAATGACCTTCTCAGGTATCATGCATGCCTTGCCCAACTGTAAGTCTCCCAAACACTTTACTGTGGTTCTAGGCCCTTGCACCTATGGTGATTGATACTCTATACCTGCTCCTTTGGGTGTCCTTCAGGTGTTTCCTAAATCTGTAAGACACTTATGAGGTTAACATGGTATCATCTATGTAACAGTGGGTGGGCAGGGTAAGAAGTCAATGTCCGGGGCCATCATCCCATGCCAAGTGGTGGCGCTATGCAGGTAACCCTGCGGGAGCACTTTAAGGTCCAGTTCAGTCTATTCCAGGTGAATGTAAATTGGTCCCAGGACTCAGCAGCTAATGAAAAGTGTTAGCAGGATGCAAAAGATAACAATAGGAGGCCACAGCCCACATCTGTTGTCCAGTCAGGAGACAAGTGCTGGGCACAGTAGCATGGATGGGGGCTACTATTTTGGTTACCTCTGTAATCTACAGTCATTCTCCATAAACTGTCCAGCTTGATTGGGTCTCTCCCAGTTTTCTCAGCTGCACATCCCTGACTTTACGGTCTATACTCATGTAGAAATCTCTGACTGTTCTGTGCAGGCTGTACCCCAATAGCACAATCACCCCTAGGAGAAGCTTGGTCTTTTTACATTTTTTTTTAAAGCCTGTGAACATCTGACGATATGGATTTTCCAACGACAAGTCTGTTAAGTTATGTTTAAATTGACTCAGGACAAACTTAACGATTTTTCTTTATCCTGCTTACTGTTTCCTTCTCTAAAAGCCTGGTGGCCTCTTGGATTCCAGAAGTCCTAGTACTTTTCCCCCACTTGGTCTCAGAGTTTACACACAGATGTTTACATTCCAGCCAGGACTGGCTGAACAACTTAGTTCTGTTTAATCTTGAACAGCAATATTATTTTAGCACAAGCAGAAAGCAGAGGAAGTTAACCCGTTAGCTGCAGTTTACAAGCTGTCCCATGCAGAAGAAATGCTCTGAGCATGCTGATTGGACAAAAATAGCAATTCAAATTTTGGACCCCAAAAGGGCTCTTGTTCACTCCTTTACAGGTTACCAGGAAGGTTAGTTTGCTCTTTGGATAACCTAGAAAGAAGCTAACCCCAATTTTGTTTCCCATTAGGACCCAGTGTGGGCACATTGTTGCACATATGTAAACCCGGCAGATGTGTGGGAGTTGTCTTGAGCCCACTGGAGCCTGCAATGCTCTGTTCCATTATCAAGTTGCCCTGTGATGGGAGTCTTCAAACAGCAGACACCCCACTGACATGCTGTTAGACCTCTGCCTGCAAGAGCGCAATCGGACAACTCAGAGGAGACTTAAGAGTTTCCTTCCTCCTGGCTGGCTCGCCACCAGTCCCAGATACCTGCTTGCTCCTTCTCAGGCTTCCTCACACAGGTCCCAGTGCCAGGTCCCTCGCTGCAGGTTAGGAGCTTCACTTACCAAGAGGTCCTGGCTTGGACTCTCAAGACAGCAGCCCAGAGAGTAAATGACCTGCCCCCACCTTGTGCAGTACTGGGAATTGACCTAGGGGCACTGTACCACTGAACTACATCCCCGGCCCTCTTTACTTTTTTTGAGACAGGATCTCAAAAAAGGCGTGCAGGGTGAAATCTGGGGGCCATCTCAGCATGGTTACATAACTGAGAAGTGCATCTTTGCAATATATTCTATGGGATCAGTGTAGTATTTGTATGGAATTTTTCTTATATTTGCTTTTGGAAAAAACCCATTCTTGCATTAATGTTGGTACCTGTACACTGCCCATGAGGCTCAGGGTCTTGTCAGGTGTGTGTGGTGGGGATCTTCACAGGAGGAACTGCTCTTGGTCGGAGCAGAGCACTCCCTGATGAGCCAAGTTCCACACAGAGCCTGACACCTGGCTTGTGCAGGACTTGGCCCCTGTGCCTCCCTTCACTCTTCTGGGTCTGCAGCCATCATCTCCGCAGGCTTGGGATCCTTAGGCACTTTGCCTGCAATGTTAGATGAGTCTGGTCCTTGTCTGAATCATTAATAGGCTCAATGTAGCTTTCAGGCAACTCATTTTTTTTTTGAGTCTCACTTTCTTTATCTGTGAAATGGGGAACCACTCTCTCCACATCCCCCTTTCAGTACTAAGAATTGAACCTAAGGCCTTCTCACTGAGGTACAACCCTAACCCTTTGAAGAACATTTTAATTTTGAGACAGGGTTGTACACTTACTAAATTGCGACTGTGATTCTCCTGCCTTGGCCTCCCAAAGCACTAGTATTACAAGTGTGCATCACCATGCCTGGCTGAAACTGATCCTTTCTGGTTATGTAAGGATTCAGTAAATAGTTACATACTATGTGCTATTCAAACATAAGGTGACATTCAGAGCTTAAACTGCAAAGGTGGTTTTAAGGGACACTGTAGTTTAGATCTAGAATGGCTTTTTTTTTTTTGTTTTTTTGGTACCGAGGATTGAACATGGGTCCCTGCGCTTGCAAAGCAGGGGGCGGAACCACTGAGCTAAATCCCCAGCCCTAGAATGGCTTCTAAAGACCCACGTCTAAGGCCAGGTCCCAGGGGGATGGGAATGTGCTCCTAGGATTGTGAATGGAGAGCTTTGTTCCACCACCCTCCCTCCAAGGCAGCAGGGCCATGAGCATGGACTGAAGCCTACAAAACTGAGTAAAAAATAACCCTTTCCTTGTATAAGGTGATTTTCTTAGGCATTTTGTTATAGTGATGGAAAGCTGACAACATAACATGTTAAAGATTTCTCTTGACAATGACACACAAAATCCAATTTGTAGAATGGAACAATTGCAAAGGGAGTTTCCTGGAGGTTCTTGCAAGTAACTTTAGGAGACACACATGGCATGTATTTTGGAAAATGTTCATCATGTATACCCTTTAATTTGCATAGAACTTTACTGTATTAAACTCAACTTTTTTTTTTTTTTGGTACCGGGGATTGAACTCGGGTCCTTGTGCTTGCAAGGCAGGCCACCAAACTGCTGAGCTAAATCCCCAGCCCCTAAACTCAACTTTTATACACCTGTTCAACCCTAGTTCACTAAACTAGTTCTAGGTATGTAGTGGCTCAACAATGTCCATTTACTTCCTGTTCCCTTAACAACCATGGGCAGTTAGCTCTGTGATGGGGATCCAGGCTCCTTCCAAGTGAGGACCTCCCCACTCAGTACCTGTGCCTGGTTGTCATCTGCATCCAGCCACTGTCAGAGAAGAGTCCAGTGAACATGTGCAGTTTTTACTACTTCTGTTCACACTGCCCTGGAGAGAAGTTAACCCAAGGTCCTGCCTGTATGTAAGGGAGGCTGGGAAGTGCAGCCCAGCTATGCAGAGAGAAATGCATCTTGGTAGTTAGCTGTTTTCCACCAGTTGACAGGCGAGGAAAATTCTCTTAACACGGACTAGCTTGTCATAATTACTTGGTCACAATCAAGTGACCAGGACTACAGCCAGATCTGATAACCACATCTGGGCCCTTAAAAAGGTCCCCACCCTGACCCAAGCTACCTTACCTGGATGCTCGCCTGTCACTGCCTCTCCCTTGCAGAGATCTGTGACACCTACTCTGGATCACCTGGGAAAATGACGGAAATTGACTTGTCGGTCCTGTTCCCCCCACACCAATGTTTTTAGCCCTTGCCCATGGGCGTGTGGGTTTGGAGGCAACTGAGCTGCAGAGTGATGCAGCTACACCCGAAGCCAGGTCTGACTCCTCTGAGCAAGAAAGGACAAAGGCTAATTTCAAGCCAGACTTTTTATTTGTACAGACACAGTGGCCCCACAGCACAGGAACACAAGTCCTAGAGGCACAGTCTCTGCAGCTGCAAGTCTGATGGGAAACTCATTCCTTTCTCTTTGGTCCCTGTGACCAAAGAGAAAAAATAATCACACATCATACACTGCCACAGCCACTCCCACCCCTCTTCCCTGTCACTAACGACCAATAATTCACCCTTCCAGCCAAAGAAATTGGCTACAATTCTGATCTTACAGAAATTCTACATGCAGCCAAGAAACCAAGGCTCTGGAGGGGAGAGGCACATTGCTCTTTACACACACACTGCCCAGTGGTACCAAGTTCAACTCCATCGGGAGCCTGCTGCATAGATGGACAGACACCCTGCAAGAAAAAGCTGGAACTTGGCCCACCATGCTTGGAAGACCAACTGCCTCTTTCCAGGCAATATGTCACTGGAGCCACATGTTTACCTGAGGCTGACGTGACTCCAAAATACCTTCCCTTCCAGGGCCCAGGTATGGTCTGTGGAGGGCTGGATTCTGATGAGAAGACTAAGGGTGACACAGCTGTGGCGACAGCCCAGTGGCTTCAGGATGGAGGCTCTTAAGGGTGAAATGATGGTACTTCTGCTCAGGTAACCATTCATCTACATTAAGTAGAGTCATCAGTCTAGCACTGGGGGGGGGTCACACATGCCAGGAGTCATGTGCTTCTCATACTAGAGAATGAGGACTCCCTTCTGCCTCCTCCAGGGCCAAACAGACAAGGGGGGCTTAACTTTCTGAATGCCACAAAGGCACTCAGTACCTGCACGACCACTCTAGAACACTTTGCAGTGAGCCAGGCAGTGCAGGGAATGGGAGCACATCCTTCAGTCAGAGGATGACTCTACAAGGATTTTGGCAGGCAGAGGGGTGAGATGGACACTTCCCGGCCAGTGCCAGATGTGCCTTTCTGAAAATGAGATGAGAGCTGGGCTTGGGACTGAAGGACCTTAAGTAACAGATAATCCCTGTCACCTTTTTTTTTCAACACAAACAAGGGTTGATTCCCTGGGTTTTGCAACAGTGGTGTCTTAAGCTTTTAGCCGGAAGGACTCCAGGGAGAGGTCACCTGGCCCAATGTGACAGATGAGGAAACTCCTGGAGGTACGAATACTTGCCTGCAGATGCACAGCTTGCAGGTGGGAGAGCAGGGACTGACTGCCAAGTCCTGAGTCCAGTATCACCGATCACTGATGTGACTGGCTCAGCTCTGCATCTCCCTTGTAGACCCAGCTCCTTCCAGTACATGACTCGGCTCCAGCCAGGGCCGGCAGTTCTTAGGATGGAGCTGCATAAACAACCACACTTGGATAACAAGGCAGAGGGAGCCGTGGAGGTTCCCTTCTCTCTGAACGGAAACAGAACTTTCTCTGAGCTTAGGATTTGTAAGGCACTGAAATTAACTACAGCTGGGGGTGGGACAAAGAAAAGCGGGGGTGAGGGGTAGGAAAAAATCCAGCTGATGCTTTTTTCTTTCAGCCCCAGTGAGACTCCTCAAAGAAACATAATGATGGGAACTCCACGCATCCTGAGGGACCTCTATTCCACCCCCAAGGCTGTAGCCCCTGCCCAATGCTTCAGAGCGGTGAAGATGCACCCGACTGTGACTAAGTTGGTACTGGAACAAGAGGGGGTCTAGAGGGTGGGAAGCCAAGAATGCGTCCAGGTGCTCTGGATCCGATTCACAGCGCAGGCTCCTCTCCAGCAGCCTCCTGGACACGGTTTTGTTTGGTTTTTTTGTTTGTTTGTTTTTTTGAGACAGGGTCTCACTATGTAGTTGAGACTGACCTGGAACTCACTATGTAGCCCAGGCTGGTCTCGAACTCACAGCGATCCTCCTGCCTCAGCCCCCCGAGTGCTGGGGTTACAGGCGAGTGCCACCGTGCCCTGCCTGGACACGGTTCTGAATGGGCTCAGTGATGGCCGGGACAGGCCTGCAAACCTGAGCGGGCAGGACAGGGGGCAGGACATCGCCAAGGACAGTAGAGAGACTTTGGGATCGGACCTGGCTTTGGCACAGCACATCTTGGACCTGCCTGCCCCACTGTTGCCCCAATGGGACCCTGGGGTGGAGAGGAGCCGTCCTTTTCCCCACAAGGGGCTCTTCTGGCTGACTCAGGCAATGGTGGTGCAACTCCAGGGTGTCCCCTTCATCATTCCAGCCAAACCTGCGCACAGATGACCCAGCAGGGAGTCTTTCTGGATTCAACTGCTGAATCCAAAGCGCTTTAGTCAGATGTGATGCTGAGTGGGAAGTGATAACAGCGACTGTGAACAAAGCACCCTTCATGTGACAGGTGCTGACTTAGATGACGGCCTGCAGGTACAATCACCTGCTTCACCTGATGGAGAGAGTGGAGCACAGAGGGTTAGGTGACACACCCAGAGTCACACACTGATGGGTGGCTACCCTGGGACCTGGACTCAGGGTGGTCTGACTCCAAGTCCCACACTCTTTGCACTGGACCAGGCTGTCCCAGACCTCTTGGGGACACTGACAGAGCCATCTGGGTGGGACTTCTGGAGGGGTTTGTTTCTGAAAAGGTAGGTTTGGGAAAGCAGCCAAACTGGGTGAAGGGAAAACGCAGGTCCACCCGCCTGCGTCTCTCTCCCAGAGGCTGGGCTCAGTGTCTTGCAGCCTTGCAGATCTTGTCGTACACCTCAGGGAAGGCATCCTGACAGCCCAGCTGCTTGCGTAGCTTGTGGTACAAGGAGCCATCGAACATTTCCCAGAACTCCTCCCGGTCCATGTAGCAGTCGGCATAGAGCATCTGGAACCTGCAAAGGGAGAAGAGCGGTGAAGGCTTGGGAAGCAGAGTCAGGAGGTGCAGGGAGGCGATAGGTGCTTGGGAGGAGCCACTCACCCATGCACGCTCCGCACAAACTTCTCCAGCTGACGCATGCAGGATCTGGCCTCGAAGTGCTTCACGCGTGGCTCTCCGTATGCACCGATGTCCACATACAGCTCAGCCTCATCTCCCTTGGGGTGCACCAGGCCAGGCTGGCTGGGCAGGATGAACGGGCACAGCCAGATGGGGTAGACCTGGGGAGGCCAGTGCAGCAGGCATTGACGCCTCTTCTCTCCAGCAGCTGACACTCCCACCCTGCCACAGGGAGGCTCTTCATCCTCCCAGGGCCCTGCTCTGCTGCAGAGAACCAGACCCCACAAACCCTGACTCCAGCGTACAGGAGCCATTCACAGAAGTGCTCATCACCAGGGCCATCGCCAAGTGACCAAGGGCTCTGTAGGCCTAGGGACAAGGCTTGATTTTACAGCTGGCTAAATCGAGAGGGTAGGCTGTGGGCTCAGGGGAGAGGCTGTGAAGTCCCAGGTCTGTGCCTGCTGCCACTCACATGGATGTCGTTTTGAAAGGTGTGCAGGGCCTGCTGCAGGCACTTCATGGGCACCAGCATGTCCTGTACCACGTGGTGCTGCTCATACAGCTTGCGCAGGGTTTCACCCTGGGTCAGCTTCAGCAGCGAGATCTTGGGGGGCACCATCCAGCCAAAGAGGTAGCGGAAGATGGGGTTATTGCCGAAAGGGATGATATCCTGAAAGACCAAGGTTGGGATGGGAGGAAGGAACCCAGGGCTGAGCACTGTCCCTGCCATTGCATACTCCAGGTATAAGTCCCGATCTGGAGAGGGTGAGCTACTAGGATTTCACCAGGGAACTCTGGGTTTGAGTCTCTGTTCTGGCATTTACCATATGTGACCACCTTAGACTGGTTCCTTAATTTCTCAGTGTTCTGTCTTCCCATCTGGGCAGAGAGACTAGGGAGGCTAATGAGAAATCAAAGGGAAGATGCTCACCCAGTGTTTGGAACAGACTGGTAAGGCGGCTGTCAAGCAGCAGGCATTGCATAAACAGAGATAAGCCAGGGAGTGAGAAGAGCAACGCCCACAGAGCTTAACCAACTTCCCTAAGGCCACAGTGGGGACAGCCAGTCACTGCCAAACCCCTGGCCCTCAGAAACTGAGCTGTACTACTGTTGGCTATTTTAACCCCCTGGCAGCAGCAGGTGACTGATATGCTCCACCCACTTACTGTGGATGACCTCAAACTGAATTTCCTACCTGTAAAATGGAAACAACTCTAAGCCCATCTTCCCATTGGGAAGACTACAATCAGGTGCATACAAGCACACGTGGAGAGAGGCATGCTGACCACTGTGCACACCTCGTCCAACTCTCCCAGTGTCGGTGCTCACTGTCCCCATGCTGCTCTGGGTGGGGGTGAAGGTCTTGCTATCTTATTCTGCCTTTGGCAAAACTGCCCACCAGCAGCTTGGGACCTTCACACCATCCCAAGAGGGAGTAGAAGTGAGGGAGACCCTGCAGCCCCCAAGCTATGATGAGACTCCCCTGCCTACCCATCACATTTACCCACCCCACCCTCAGAAATGACTGATGGCCTCTTGCAAGAAGCTACCAGGTGTGACTATGCCTGTTTCTTAGTCACCACAGACCTCCTCCTTGCACCATTACCTGCTACAGCAAGGCAGCACCTCAGGCTGAGCCAATCAATCACCATCCCCTGGCTACCCTGTGCCCCTCCTCAGGCTCTCCTCAAACACTCTGCTCTCTCCTGGCTCAGAACAAGGTCCTGGTTGTGCCCTAGATCCTCTCAAGTGGGCCTCCCATGAGCCTCTTGTCGCTGGGCTTGATGGAACCTTGGGTCCTCCTTGCCCCTCACTGCTGCTCCCACATCTGTCCCTCCTGCTCCCCTAGAAACCACCCTCGACAACACTGAAGTACGGTGCTCTCCCCAAGTCCTCACACCTCCCACACACACGTGTGACCCACTGGATCCCGGATCACTGTCAGCCTCTTCCATATTGGTTTCTGGTGATCTCAGTATCCAGGGATTATCCTGCCCAAGCCCTATTTCTAGGCTCCCTGGCCTCCTCTTACCTTCTAGTGGTCTTATCCCCTCCACTGGCCTCAGCCAAGACTGGCATGTCACATTCCAAAGCGGTGATGACACCTGAGGACCCAGGGTTAGAGCCGATGCCAGCTTCGTGGGCCTGCTTCTTTAGGCAGTTTTCCCAGAGCAGCTACACCACCCTGACTCCCTCATGCTGAGGCTGTGGCACAGCCAAGCAGCTGATACAGAGCCCTGGGCCTGCAAAGCCTACATGGCCCTTCAGGAAGGTTTGCCGCCCCAGTCTGTCATAGTTTCTCCATCACGAGCACTGGTCCTCTGCCATCACCAATTCTCCTTCTGTCCTGGCTTAGGAGCCTGACTTCACTTCTGCCTGGGCCCCGGTGTACTGCAGGCTCTCCTCAGTCCCTGAGGCCTCACAGCCTCCCTTCTTGGCCGGCTTGGACTGTAACAGTCACTTGTGGCCCACTCATTGCACCATCTGCACAGCCTCCTTGGGCTCGGCTCTCACTCTCCACCCCTCCTGCCCCACCCCTGCAGCCAAACCCTGGCTGGTCTCCCCGAGAACTCACACAACAGTCCTGGGACTTCCCCAGAGAATGAATTTCCCTCTCCAAGGGCCGTCACGTATCCTCTCTCCTCAAGCCTTCGCCAACCACCCACCTCAGCTGAAATCCTTGCCTCTCATTTCACTGCAAAATTGGAAGCAATCCAGAGGGAACTCCTATACCCTCCCACCGCCAGATCGTCCTTGTTCCCAACTATTGCTTTCGGTGCTGCTTCCCTCCTGCCTGTGCACCCATTGTGAGGCCACGCTGCACCGGAGCCCAGGAGCACGCTGCCCTCTAAACACACCGTCTCTCCTACACTGTCCTTCCTTCCTCTGGCAGGCCACTCCCCGACAGCTATGCTGTCTTCTCTCCTACCTGAATCACATAAACGTGAGCCCTGGTCCATCCTTATGATCTCCACTTCTTTGTCTCCCACTCTCTCTTGGACTCAGCAGTTGTGGTTTCACCCCACTGCTCATAGTCACTGAGGGCCTCTACAGACTCACGCGGCAGGATCCCACACCATGGTCAGCTTCCTCTCTCTGTGCTTTTGTATTTTCTTCTGTGCTGGGGGTTGTGCAGGCTCAGCAAGCTACCACTGAGCTACACTCCCAGCTCATCTTACTTGCTCAGTCTCCACTTGGCTCTAGGATGCCTTGTCCTTCTGGTCTACCCTCCTTCCTACCCCCATTCCCAATGGCACTGTCTCCCATCAGGTCTCCATCCCTGAACTTGTAGAGCACCCCAGGGCTGGGCTCTTGCATCTTCGCTTCCATGGCTTCCGATAACATTTGTCTGCTATGGATGCCCACATTTACACATGTGGCATCACCCCTGCTAAACCCCGGAAACGCCGCCACAAGTAGCCACTGCCTACTTAGCATCCCACCTGGGGGCCAGAGGTATCTCAATCTGACAAACCCCAGACCAAACTTCTGCTTTCCCTTCCTAGACCCCTCCCCAGCTTCCCATGGCAGTCAAGGGCACCCCGTTCTTGGAGGAGATCACACCCACGGCCAGCCTGTCGTCACCCCTCACAGCATCTCCAAGGTCTGATGCTTCCTTCCTCCTCCACTGCTGTTACCCAGACAACAGGAATCTTCCTTCTACTCTTCCACTTCTGCCTACTCCCATCTCAGCCACTCTCCATTCAACTGTCAAAGAGCTTTTAAAACACAAATCAGGCCATGTTACTTCCCTGCTCAAAGTCCCCCTGATTTCCTATCACACAGAAATAAAACCAAGTCCCTTCCTGACCTACAAGGACGAGACCCAGCCTCTGGCTGCTGTCTGGCCTCTTTCTGCACCAGCTCCAGCTCAGCAGCCTTCCTGCTGGTTTCCAACACAGGCAGCCTGCAGGATGACGGGTGAGCATGTGCTAAAGAGTGCTGCTAGGCCCCCGTCACACAAGCAACAAATAAAAGGGAAGAGCCAAACCTCAGAGCTCTCAGAGGAAAGCAGGGTAAATCTGCATGATCGTGTACTTGGCAATAGAGTCTTACATATCAAAGTAAGAACACAAGCAACAAAAGGGACAACAGATAAACTGGACTTCCACATTAAAAGGCCTTTAGTGCTGAGAGTCCACAGAAATGTACAGAAGCCGGGGATTTAGCTCAGTGGTTCCACTGCCTGCCTCACAAGTGCAAGGTCTCCCAAGTTCGATCCCCGGTACCAAAACAAACAAACAAACAGAAATGTACAGAAGAAGATATTTGCACACTATGTATCTGCTAATACTGATACCCAGAATAGTAAAGAACTCTTCCAGCTCCGCAGCAAGACAATCAGCCCAGTTAAAAATGGACATAGGGCCAGGGGTTTAGCTGAGTGATATGGTGCCTGCCTCAAAAGCACAAGGTCTTGAGTTCGATCCCCAGGACCACACACACACACACACACACACACACACACACACACAAAAAAAAAAAAAAAAAAAAAAAAAAAGACAAAGGATCTGGACAGAAAGTTCTCCAAAGATACACGAGTGCCCAAAAAGCACATGAAGTGACACCCAACACCATGAATCCAGAAGAAAATGCAAATCAAAAGCCACAATGAGACGCCACTTCACACCCACTAGGATGATTATGTAATAACAAGCATTCAAAGACCAGGAAGTAAGTGTGGTAGAAATGCAGAAAAACTGCCTCACTCATTCACTGCTGGAGGGAATTGCAGGGCGGTTCTGCTATGTAACCTGGCAACTGTCCCCCAGGTGCGTTTATACCCAAAGGACTGAAAACTGTACTCAAATACTTGTGCATGAATGTTCACAGCAGCACTGCTCACAATGGCCAAAAGGCTGAAACAGCCCAAATGTCCATCAACAGACGTGTGGAAAAGCCAAGTGTGGTAACGGAAGCAATGAAAAAGTCATGCAAAACACACGAGACATGGAACACTATGCAAAATGAAAGATGCCAGTCACACTGGGCACATCTTGTATGATTCTCATTTATAGGAAATATCCAGAATAGGCAAATCCTCAGAGACAAAGCCAATCAGAAGTTGCCACAGGCTGGGGGAGGAGGACAGAGAAAGACTGCGTAATGGGTATGAGGTTTTCTTTTGTGATGAAGAAAAGTTCTGAAACCACACAGAGGTGGTGGGTGCACAACACTGTGCAGGAATTAAATTCCAAGAGCTGTCCACTTGGCAGTGGTTAATTCTTTGTTTGTTTGTTTTTTGGTATGGGGATCGAACTCAGGTCCTTGCGCTTGCAAGGCAGGCAGCGGAACCACTGAGCTTAATCCACAGCCCGACAGTGGTTAATTCTGCTAGCTCATTTTGGCTCTCTCTCTGCCTGGGCTGTGTCCAGGTCCTTGATCACAAAGATCTCCCCAGGGACCTATCCTGACACCACTCCCCCTTCCCCTGACAAATTCCTGCCTACCTTTCCAGGGCACGCTTGATGGCCCTTCCCACCCAGAGCAGAGCAGGCCACCTCCTCCCCCTGCTCTCTGGCTCTGCTCAGATGGCTTACCCTTCCTGAAGGGAGAAGAGGTCTGTATTCCCCTAAGTGTGGCCCAAGAGCCCGCTCCCAGCACCCTTGGTGACAGCCAGCTTCTGTCACTACCCATAGCTGTTCTGCTCAGCTCCCTCAGGACGGAGCTGAAGGACAGCCACCTCACCTGGAGCTCCCAGAAGATGCTGCGTGTGTGGCGGTGGTAGTACTGTCTCAGGGGAATGTACTCCAGGCCCTCCCGGTTTGTCTTCAGGTAGTTCTCCACGTGCTTGAAGAACCAGGGCTTGTAGTAACAGCCGATGCTATTCAGCTGAAAGGACAGAGGCCATCAGAGGTAATCAGAGTGCCAGCTGCCACCAGGGAAACAGCAATACAGGCTGCTAGCAACACCGCCAGCCTTTCCAGAGCTGTTGGGTCATCACTGCCTTCACAGTCTGAAGAGCCAGGCAAAGCTGGGTGCAGTGGCGCTCTCTGCAGAGGCTATAGGTGGTGGGTACAAGGGCTGCACCGCTAGCTCCTAACTATTTAAGAACCTAGTGACCCCATCCCAGCCTGCTGCTCCTGCTCCATGAGCACAGTGCAAATGTAACAGGTTAGGTCTGCTGTGATGCAGGTAGCTCCCTCCTCCCACCTAAGAGGTCAGTTCATTGCTCAGCTCTAAGGCACTTTCCTGTGGGCCCAGACCAGGCTCCGCAGTCCTCAGGCACAGCACTTCCCAGCTGGAATCCCCTCCTCTGGCATGAGGCAGAAGTGCACCAGAAGGAACTTGCCCATGCCCTGGCATTAGCCTACACCTTCTACTGACCTGCTGCCTTCTAGGGAACTTAGAGCTTGTCTCAAAAAAAAAAAAAAAAAAAAAAAAAAAAAAGGCTAAGGATATAGTTTAGTGAAAATGCCTTAGTTCAATCCCCAGTACTACTTAAAAGAAAAACAAAACAAACAAGCAAACAAAAATATATGTGTGTGTGTGGTTTATTTGTGCCTTTTAGATTTACACACAGGAAAAGTTCTCTTTTTTTACACCATAGTTCTTTATAAAACTAGAACCATCCTGTGCATACTGCAGTTATCTGCCCCTTCCACTTACAGTCCCTGGCTGATCCTGCGGGGGCTGCTTGGCCTCTCAGATCCCCACTTACCGAACAGGCAGGGTGGTGGTACCCCTCCCACCAGGATGGTAAAGTAAGAGACAACAGGGAAGGTCCCAAGCCTGGTGCCCGGCACACAGGACTTACAGTACCAGCTCCCTGCCCTGATGCCAACCCACAGCACTGCAGCCAGCATGTGCAGCTTATGTGGGTGTCAGCCTCTCGTGGAACCTGCTCTGAAAGGGGCATTTGTTGTGATGCACCGGAAATGGGCTTAGGAACCTGTGTGCCCAGCTGGCTTTGGAGTGGTGTACACGGCCTCTGTCTGGTAAGAAAAACAGGCTGAAATCCAAGGAACCACAGCAACTTGACCAGAGCCAGGTGAGACCTGGCCACACACCTGGCAGTGGTACCTGCTGCATAATGAAGTTGAGACTCAGTGTTCCTGGATACAGGTGTTGCTGGTGCTCAGATTCACCAGGAACTATTTGGGCTAGAAAAGCTCAGAAAGCCATAAAGATACCATATTGCTGGTTTCTCCCGGGTATGTTAGCTGGGGAGGCTACATGGACATGAGCTCCCTTTGCAGCTCTAGCACTATTACCACAAGCCAATTCCTGCCTCTACGTCTGCCTGTGAAATGGGCTGTTGCATCCTCTCAGGGTCACAGCGTCTTTATCCTGAAGTCTGTAGAGCGCCTACAGGGCAGAGTCCAGAGCAGCTTTATACACCTCAAAGCCTGGAGAAATGCCCACCTGAATGATGTCATCTACCACTCTCCTGCCCAGTCTTGTTCACCTGGGGGACATCGAGGCCTTGCTAACTGGGCTATCGGCAATGTGGCCTTGCAGCCTCTCTGTCACAGGGTCAGGGAGAACTTCTGGGAAGGCCCTGGATTCCTCCTTGGAAAATAAAGGAACTGGGCCCAGTGTTCAAACCTTTTAAAAGGTGTAAAGAGGAGTCTCTCCTTTCACTTTTCTACACTTTCGAATTTTCTACAATAAACAAATGTTTTCTTTTTCTCCTTCTGTCTTCTTTTTTTTGGGAAGTGATGGGGAGGGCTAAGGCCTCATGCATGCTAGGGAAGTGTTCTACCACTGAGCCACACCCCAGCCACACAAATCCTTTCTGAATGGAGAAAAATTTGGCATTAAAAATTACATGGTGTAAAGCCATGGTGGCGCATGCCTGTAATCCCAGCACTTGGGAGGCTGAGGCAGGAGGATCATTGTGAGTTCGAGACCAGCCTGGGCTACATAGTGAGTTCAAAGACAGCCTGAACTGCACATCAAAACCCTTGTCTAAAAATAAAACCAAAAACAACATGGTATGAGTTGAAGGAGTGAGTGTTGATCTGAACTCTGAGGCATCAAATTGACAACTGACCTCTTGGCTTTGTCTTCCTAGGGGAATTTATATTACTTCTTCTAGCCTCGGCTTCCTTGTCTATACAATGGGACTACAGTAAGAACCAGGGAACATCTGTCAGGAGGGGCCGGAGCAGAGGAAATGGAGGCTCTCCTCATTGAAGGAGACATTCCGGAAGGCAGAGCCTGTAGGCCCTCAGAGCCCCAGACCTCCTTCCTCCCCTGACCTCAGTCCAGAGGCAGGGAACCCAGGCTTACCTTGCCAGGTTCTGCTTCATCAGTCATGACGCCGGTCATAATGACAGCCTCATCCAGGGAGTAGAGCAGCCCCTCCACAAAGTGGTTCTCCAGGCGCTGGGACTCCCGGGTAAATTTGTCACAGATGGCTTCCAGGCCCCGTACTGGTTCAAACCGCAGCTTGACATACTTCTTGGCGGGGATGATGCGGATCTCAGCAGCCACCAGGAATCCCAGGGTCCCACAGGACCAGGGCACAGCATAGAATAGGTCGGAGTTTTCGGACTGTGACACAGAATGGACACTTGCTGAGAATCTGGATGATGGCCCCAGGGGGCATTCCTGCCGTCACTACCTCATACAAATCTGAGCAAAGAACTCTACGGGCTGTACTTAGCACCCTCAGCAACTGTATCACGCCCTCTGACAGGTAAAGGAAGTGTGTGCCCAGGAGGTGACTTATCTTGCCCAGGACTTCCTGGGCAGGGCTTCCCATGCTCAGCAAGGTCACCAACTCTAGCCAGGAGCTCCACCCATAGCACCTCCTCCAGGGCCACAAATCTGTTTCTAACTTCCTTCTTTCTCCATTCTCAGAGACACACCACTGACCTTTCTTTTAACCATTCTAATTCAGATTCTTGATTCCAGAAAAGCTCCTTTCCAAAAAAGTCCTGTCTGTCTTGGTTTTGCTAGTGAGCCAGCCCTGCTTGATCTCTGCCAAACTCAAATGCCCTTAGTGTGGGCACGGAGGGGATGGTGGGGGTGAGAGATGGGCAGGCAACTCTGTAGTAGGCCAGAAGCTTCTGGAGTAGCACCCCTGGGCCAAATGACCTCCCACACGCCCATCCATCCAGATCACGGCAGCCAATCAAAACCGGCATGGAGCACCTCCTCATCCTCCTAACCATGCTCATCAGAGGAGGAATGGGGCTCGAAGAAGGGAGGCCACAATGAATGTGTGTCTCCCGCCTCTGCTGGTGGTAGACAGGTTTGAAGGCAGTGCCCGGGCAAGCATTCAGGAAATCATGCTGAGCTGATGAGAAGCTGACCAAGGTAGGAGCTCCCAACTGGACTCCCTTCCCTGGACTCACCCTCTGTGCAGCCAGCAGCCCTGGGGCTCTCTGAACTATCCACTTCAAAAGTCTCTCCCATCCTGGGCTCCTGACATATGCTAGACTTTATTTAAAGTTCCAATTCTGTCCCACTCCTTAGGTAAAATGACTCACATATCTGTGCCCTACTTTGGGTGGCAGAAATTATCTTTTCCCAGAGCAGCCTCTTTGCTTTTGGTGATACCTCACAACATGTGACATGGGGGTTTGACATCGAGACCTGACCTACTCTGGAGAGACAACCTGGGGTAACAAATGGCTGAGGGCAAGGATCTGGGCACCTGGTTGTTAAGAGTTTGAGTTCCAACTGTAGGATTTACTATCTGTGTGACCTAGGCCAAGATTATGAACCTTTCTGTGATCTTCAGATTCCTAATTGTGACGTGGGGATAATAACAGCACTTACTCACAGGCCGTTAAGGAATAAATGCCTTAAATATATATGAACTCACAATAGTGCCTAAGCACTCAGAAGGGGGTGCATAAACTTCTGTTCGTCTTATGGACACAGACTGAACAGGTCCATCTGAGATGCAGTCTCAGATGGTGAGACTCTGGTGGCTGCCCCCACCCTTCAACTCACCGGCGTGCATCGCACGAAGCTGCCGTCGGCCAGGATCAGCTCGTAGGCAGTGCAGATGTGCTGGAACAGGCCATACTTGTGGGAGGATGACTCGATGCCTGTGCCCATGATCAAGCCCCCTGCAGGGACACATGTGTCAGCCTGGCAGAGCCATCATGTGCAGGGCAAGGGTGGCAGAAATGGGCTGTTAATTTAGCAGATCCCCATCTCTGTCGATTTGGTGAGCAGAAGTGAGAAGGATGGGCTTAAACAGGAGCTGAGGGCCTTAAGAGTCCGGGGAGCTGGGGGGCAGACTCCTCCAGGGCATTTACATCCCCACCTCCGCCGGCTACTGAGAAACCTGCATTTGTTCATTTTAAGGGGACTTCCATGAAAAGGAGGGGTGCTGAATGGGCTGGGAGCCCTGACTGGTGGGGACGGTTAAAGGAGGAGAGGGTGCTTCCCTTAGATAAGAAAAGACTTCCCACGAGCCCTGTGGGAAGAAAAGTGCAACTGGACTTAGATTCTGTGTGTTGCACAAGTAGGAATGGAATAGTGGACATAAGTCACAGGGAAGCAGATCTCAGCTGGAAATTACAGAGCGCCTCTGAAAACTTGAGCTGCTCAGAATGGCCGACAGTGAAGCCTTGTCACTGGTGCTAGGTAAGTACAGAAGGGTGACTTGTCCCAGGTGGGAGAATGGCCATTTCTGGACCAGATGGAAGGTGGCCAAGTCCCCTCTGCTCTGACCCTGGGACCATCTGACCCCTCCTGCCCTTGAACATGAGTCCTCACCCACTGTGAGGTCGTCCAGCTCAGGTAGCACAGGCAGTGTCCAGCCGATGGAGGTGAGCAGGGCGGTCACCTGACCCATGGACACCAAGGGCTCCACACGGACAATCTGCGGACATGAGAACAGAGACCCAGCTCTCAATCCACACTTGAGCACAGGCATTCCTGCAGCCTTTACCAGCTCCTTCCAGGACTCTACACTGCCTTTACTTACTCTGGCACTGGGTCAGTGAGGGTTGAATCAAATCCTTTCTTTTTTTATTTTTTGAAACAAGGTCTCGCTGTCTAGTTCAGGCTGGCTTGAACTCACTATGCAGCCCAAGCTGGCCTCGAACTGGTGGCAATCCTCCTGCCTCACCCTCCTGAGTGCTGGAATTACAGGCATGAGCCACCATATCCAGCTCAAATCCTTTAAAATACCTAAAAATAAATGCTTTATTACAAGAAAAATGCTCATTTGAAAGACTCAGCAAAAATAAGGAGGAAAACAAAAACTCATTGTAGTTCTTTAGAATTACTGATGTTAATAATGGAGTGGGTTTATTTTATTTTTTTTCCACTGCATGTCTATATATCTCCATTTCTAATTTGTACTACAAACACACACATGTACAGTGTTGTCCTCCCTTTAAAAAAACAGCACTGTGACCATCATCCCTTATCATTTACTTTCTTATAAAATGCGATTTGTAATAGACGGAATAAGCCATCAAGTGGAATTCTGCTTCCAGATGAGATGGAGCAACAGAGACCAGATTTACCCTACCATCTGAAAACACACACACACACACACACGCGCGCGCGCACGCACACACACACCAAACAAACCAACCACAAAAACCCAGACAAAAAAGATAAGAAAAAAAGAGTTTTCAACACAGTAAACACAGGACTTGAAGGGCAGAACCCAAGAGGCAGGAAACATAAGTTGCGAAGACCTTAGCTCACCGCCTGGAGCCAGAAAGGGCTGCGAGGGGACCTCCTGGAGCCCCGGGTGCCAAGCTGCAGAGATGGAGATGAGAGCCCAAGACCACGGAGGAGAGTTTGCAGACAGCACATGGGAGAAGAGTGCAGCATAGAGAGGAAGCTGAAGAACTGTGAAGGCTGCTGCTGGCGTATTCACCTGAGTAATACACAGGTGGGTATTACCTGAGGCCACAGACAAGGAAGGTGCCACCAGGAAAGGTAACAGGTGAGGGTAGCAGGGCTTAGAGCATGGCATCTGCTCCCACAGCCAGCAGGGAAAATCTCATGATTCACAGGGCGTTTGGCAGAGGATCAGTTTACCCTAAATTAAATGCTGCTACAGTGCCACCTAAGAAAATCAGGACCCCACAGAATCAAACTGTTTCCAACTAGCTTAGATGTCTCCTAGAACAATGCTCAAGACTTTCAGGAATGGGACAATACGCAGCACGCAGTAAGGTGCAATTTCAGAATCTAAAAATTTACCAGGCATGCAAAGAGGTAGGAAAATTCGACCCATAATGAGAAAAATGAATCAAGCAAAACAGATTCAGAACTGACACAGATATTAGAATTAGCAAATAGGAATTTCAAAACATTTATTATAACTGCATTCTCTACATTCAGATACTTAAGTGGAGACATTACAAGGATATTAGAAAAACACAAATCAAACTTCTAGAAAAGAAACCCACAATGTCTGAAATGAAAGATACACTAAATTGAACAAGAAATTAGAGAATGCAGAAGAAAAGATCAGAGAACTTACACACACAGCCACACAGACTGTCCAAAATGAAATAGAGAAAAAAGAACTTTAAAAAAAGAATAGTACATCAGTGAGCTGAGCTATGGGCATAAACATCTTTTTTTTTTTTTTTTTTTTTTTTTTTTTTTTTTATGGTTTTTTTGAGACAAGGTCTCACTACGTAGATCAGACTGCTCTGGAACTCACTGTGTAGCCCAGGCTGGTCTCAAACTCACAGCGATCCTCCTGCCTTAGCCTCCCGAGTGCTGGGATTACAGGTGTTCGCCACCACGCCTGGCTCATATTTTAAATCAGTCCGGGATTTAGCTCAGTGGTGCCTCCACCTGCCTTGCAAGCACAAGGTCCCGAGTTCCATCCTCAATCCCAAAAAGAAAAAAGAAAAAAATGTACACAGAAGAATAAATATCTTGTATCTAAAAATAGAACTTCAAAATACATGAAGCAAAAACTGATAGAAATGTAAAAGAAATAAATAAATCCACAGTTACAGGGCAGATTTCAGTATCCTTGACTCTACAACCAATAAAATAAGTAAGAGAAATGTTTAAGGAGACAGGACACTTGATTATGACTATTAACTAATGTGTCTTTATTGATATTTGTAGAACATATCACCACAAAACAGGAAGATATCCATATAAAATATATAGATACAAGGAATATATACCAAGACAGCCCATATTTGGGGCCAGAAAGTCTCAATAAGTTGAAAAGCTTTCTAATCTAAATTATGTTTTCTAACAATAGCTTGAATTAAATAAAAAAATCAATATTATAAAGCTCTCTGGAAAACTCAATTATTTGGAAACTAAATGATTTCTAAATAACAGATATCAAGGCACTCATCAAAAAAGAAATTAGAAAGTATTTTGAACTGAATAAAAATGAAAGCAATGAAATTTGTGGGCTGTATCTAAAAGAGCACTTAGGAAAATTTATAGAACTAAACATCTATATTAGAAAAAAAGAAAGGTTAAACTAATGATCTAAACTTTAAAAAGCTACATAGAGAATTAGGTACGATGGTGCATGCCTATAATGCCAGCAGTCTGAGGGGCTAAAGGAGGAATATTTCAAGTTCAGAGCTCAGCCTGGGCACCTCAGTGAGCCTCTGTATCAAAAAATAAATAAATAAATAAAAATAAAAAAGCTTAAAAAGGAAATGGAGATGTGGCTCAGATATAGAGCAAGTGCTCTGTATACACACAGCCCTGGTTTGATCCCCATCACTGCAAGAAAAATAAAATTAAGCCAGAAGTAAAAGAAAAGAAATAGCAAAGACAAAGTAAAATCAATGCAGTCAAAAGCTAGTTCTTTGAGGTCAATAAAGTTGACTTCTCTTTTTTAGCCAGACTGACAGGAAGAAAAGAGAGCAGGCACAAGTTACCGGTATAAAGAACGGCCATAGTAGCAGGGTTACAGATTCTACAGATGGTAAGAACAAGACAGAAATGTTACGAACTCTGTCAATAATTATACAACTTGGTGTCACTAACAATGCCTTTAAGACACAAACTCCAAAGCTCACCCAAAAAAGAAACAAGTGGAAAAGCCCTGAATCTATTAAAGAAACTGAATTTGTAGTTAAAATTTGCTCACAGAGAAAACTCCAGGCCCAAACAGCTTCATTTTATGGTTTCTATAAAACTTCTAGAGGAAACAAGAGACCTTTGAGACAGATTAGGCAAAGTGATAGGATTACTCCTTATCCAAGGATGTAGGGGAAGAGGCAGGGAGGGGTTTAAGGCACCTGAGGAAACTTAGGAATTAAAAGACATGTACACCACATTTACATCAAGAGTGGCTGTTAGCCCCATTATTGGACATTGGGTTGTCTCTGACTGGAAATAAAGGTGTGATACATTCTGGGTGTTGGGCATCTTTACATTTAAGTCTATCTCTTTCTCCTCAAGCAAGATTTCAAGCAGAATCACTAGGCAGACCAGAGTATGTATATTTCCAGGGTGTTAAACAAGTGAGTCTCAAGGAAGCCTGTAAGAAGTTCCCCTCCTCCCAGCCACCTCTGTAGCCTGTTCGTTTTTACCAGCACACTTCCTTCCCAGGAAGAGACACATAGATTCTCTTTTGTCTCTGGTTTCTGCCCACGGTTTCCCCACTCCTGACTTCTGCAGAACTGAAAGGATTCACCTGAGCTCTCAGTTTGCCTGTCTGTGGGGTGGGCTGGTCTCTCCCCTGTCTCGTACAGCTTGGAGGACAGCACTGGTGGGCAGAGCCTTTCCTGATGAGCATGGGCCATGGTTCTTGTCCACTCTGGGATGCTCTTGGCTAACATCATCTCCCTCCCTAAGGGTCCCTCAAACCAGGTGCAATGCCCCAACCCTCCCAGGGCCAGGAACTGACACAGATATTAAAATTAGCAAATAGGAATTTCAAAACATTTATTATAACTGCATTCTCTACATTCAGATACTTAAGCGCTCTCACCTGCTTCTTGGTGTCCACCTCTAGGATGTCCATCAGGTTGATCATGATGTTTTTGTGTGTCTTCTTGTATTTCCCAACCCGCAATGAGACGGTGAGCCAGCCAGGGCGCCCCGTGCACATGAAAGTCTTGCTGCCCTGCTCCTTCCATTCTCGAACCTGCAACCAGAGATAGAGGCTGAGCTGGCTCCAACCAGGATCCGCAGAGCAGCTCCTAACCTTGCCTTCAGGGAGAAAGAGCTTGGAAGGATGCCCCCGCCCTGACACTGGGAGGAACAGGATGGTGAAATGAACCTGGAATCTGGTCCCAGCCTCTGTTGTCTCCCTGACTGGCAAGGTTGACAATAAAGCCAATACACTGCTATACCACCAGGAAGGAGGGAGAAAGCTGGAATACAGGATCAGAGTGTTTCAAAAACATTAACTGAGAAGTTCAGGAAAGGTTTTAGAATGGTAACAAGAGTGACTATATAAAATGATTACCAATGTCTTACTCATCTTTATAACATTCCTTGGAGGTAGGGATGACCACTTTGCAGATGAGGACACTCAGAGGTAACAAAACTTGTCCAGGACCACAGGACCAATGACTAGCAGAGCCAGATGCACAGCCAGGACTGACTGCAGGCCCAGGAAGACAGCTGAGCTCATAGTAACAGTAACAGTCCACAGAAGGACAGCTAACACTGACTGGTACTTATTCCATGTCAAGCTCTGTCCTAAGTAGTAGCATGCGTGCACTCACGGTCATTTTGCTAGGGACAGAAGAGGAAGGACCAGGAAGCCAATGGAAAGAAGGGCTCTGGCAAAACTTTGAATATACGTGAGCAGAGCACAAAAACAAGGGGATGGCAAGCCTTCAGGAACACAGGTGTTCCATTCCTGAGACTGACACCTTCCAGGGAGGGAGGTATTTGTTGTTTTAACCAGCGATCATCTATTTCTTTTTTTATCCACTTCTGTTTGTTTCCTTATTTTGGTACCAGGAATTGAACTCAGGATCTCGCACTTGTCAGGCAGGCACTGCACCACTGAGCTACATCCCTGGCCCTCTTTTTCATCTGCTTTTAACCCTATCTTCCTTGGCCCAGGTGTGATTTATCCTGCTTCACCCCAGGAGGTAGGCATATGACAGGGGTCTGATTCTATCTTTCTGGACACGATATAGGATCAGATTGGTTCTAGGAAAGATCCTCTGTTTACTGGATGAATCTAAGCCAGAAACTGTTGAGGCCTCCACAGAGACAGCCTCCCTGAGAAGTCAACTCAGGGGTAATCAGAGCCAAGACACAGCAGATGGATGAAAAGATGGAGAGGGAAAGGGAATTCTGGATATGGCCATGCCTATGCTATTTTTACTCCTAGACTTCTTAGGATGGGAGCCAGCAAAGCTCCTTTTTGCCAAGCTACTTTAAACTGAGTTTCTATCACTTGCAACCAAGAGTCCTCTCAAATCCTGGTCAGGTTTCCTGGAGGAAGCTGCAGTGGAGCTGGTTCAGCAAAGAGCTCAACAATGGGAAGGGCTTTCTCGCGATCAGAGGCTGGGGCTGCCACATTAATTCTGAGGAGTTCAAGCCTGGGGGTTGGGGTTACTGAGAAAGGGATTCCCATGAGTTGGTGGTAAAAGTGAGAAGTGGAGATGCTACAACCAATCAGGTCTGGCCTCGCCCAATTCTACAGTCCAGAACTTAACCCAAGCCCAGGCGTGCTGAAGTGGGTTACAGGTAGCGAGGCCAGTTGGATTGGATTCTGATGGGAATTAACCAAGATTCTCGGTGGGGAGGCAATGCCTGAAAAAACCACTCTTGGCACTAGATACACATTAAAGAGAGTAGGAAGCAGAAAAAAGTACCACTGGTCAGGCAGCTGGTGAAATAAGCCAGGTGTCAGGCAACAGAATCTGACTTACAGACTGGAAAGAATGGGAATGAAAAAATGCCAAGTGCTCAGGCTCACCAGGGGTTCCAGCCCCACTTTCTAGTCTTGCAACATGACTCAGTTGGAATCTCAATCTTTCCCATTAGTAAAACACACGCACTGTGGTGATGACCATAAATAATGGACAGCAATGGTGAACGGCTGTGGCACACAGCAGGGCCAGGGCAGAGGGCTGGTCCTCTGGGTCCCCTCGTTTTCTGTCTACAGAGAGACAGAAACCTTCTGTTTAGTGTGGGTTAATAAGTATTCACTATGCTGCTCCGAGCCAGGCCCCATGGGCCCAGGGGTCAGATAACACTCCTGCTTTCTAGGAGCTCACAGACTGATTAGGGAGACAGCAAGTAAACCGAGAATCTGAATTCACAGAAAGAACTGGGAAAGACAGTGCCGCTGGGAAGAGGGCAGCCAGAGCTCAGGAGCTGGATTGTGAGCAGCAAAAGCGGGAAGAGGAGCGCAAAGCATTTCAGGATGCTGCCCCTCGTGCCCCAGGCCCACTTCTTATCCCTAATGGGAAGCTCTTCAGCATCATCTTCAGGCTCCTGCCAGCTGGGAGCCATCAGAACAGGGGCAGCAGGAAACAGAAGCTCTCAGCAACTTGATGCCAGTTAAAAGAGGAACATAAGGAGGGGCGGAAAGAGCCAAGACACTGGCCAGACCTGAAGCCCATGCCAGCCCCAGCCTGGGAACTGCAGCAGGATGCCAGGTAGGCTTCGTGGAAGGTGGCATAAGGGAGGATGTCCGGTTACAGGCGACCGCCTTTGTCAGGAGTCAGCCCTCCAGCCCCAGAGGCCGGCATGAGGTTGGGGTCTGGACTCTACCTTTTTTTTTAGCGGGGATTGAACTCGGGTCCACCGAACCGCTGAGCTAAATCCCCGGCCCCCTTGGACTGTACCTTTTGACTTTACTTCTTTATCTGAAAAGCGCCCGAAGCACCTTCTTGCTACAAATAAACTTTAACCTTTAACTTGGCCTCAAGACTCCTCTCCAACCGGCTCTAACGGACTATCAATCTTCCTCCCCTGGGTGGCGCCTGCCCTTTCCCCCTTCCCAGCCTGTAACACACCGGTCCCCCGACCCGACTCACGTCCCCAGACCTCTCTCGCTTCCCAGCTCCGCCTGCCGCCCGGGAGCCTTTATTCCTTCGCAGCGCTCGGGCCTGACGAGCTACCTGACCGCTGCGCACCTGAGCAGGTCTGCGGGTTCCCTGCCTCCTTGCCGGGGTCGCACGCGGTGGGCACCGCGTGGACCTCGGGCCCGCGCCCACCTGCTTCTGGATGTCCCGAACGCGCTGCTCATGCAGGCGCGGCGCGCTGCTGAGCCGGAACACCACCCAGGCGCGCAGGTAGTAGTAGATGTCGAAGATGAGCGACAGCGGCAGCAGGAAGAGACACACGAACACCCAGCGCTGGTGGATGAGCACGAACTCCAGCCCCTTCACGCGCACCCACAGCAGGAAGAGCAGCGCGCACACCGCCAGCGACAAGGCGGGCTCCATTGTACCGGGCG